CTATGCATGCTTTGAGCCGAACGCTCCTCAGATTCAGCATGGGTGACTATTTACAAAGCCTGGACTTTGCACCCCTGCATTTATTTTGCATGTGTTGATCTGATAACTGTTCCAAGCTCTGGCTTGCCACCTGATACATGTCACATCGCTGTTTTTGAGCACACTTAAGAGCAGATGTGGTCAATGAGCCGTGGGTAATTTCTTAATCGCAATTGGTGTACTTACTAATGAGCGTGTCACAATGTGTATGTAGGTCAGTACGATTCATACGACGTTTATTAAATTCGGGACTCTGTATTCCGGTATATGGTGACTGGCACGTCACTGTGAAGGCCGGGTAGTTCATTGATTGATTTGTCTACACGGGTAAAAAAAAAAACATTGGTGGAAAAAAGGAATTCTAGATTTAAAGCTTTCGTGACTGCTAGGATCCATACTCTTTGGTTCTATTGGGTAAAGTCACGTAGGTACGTGACTTCACGTAGGTACGTGACTTTACCCAATAGAACCAAAGAGGAAAAAAGGAAGTTAGAGCGGCGCATAATTCATAAACAATTCAGACACTAAGTAGCAAACACTTTGGAGGAAAACATCATCTAAGTCATGCACCACTCAACTAACACTGTCAGCAGGTAACACAGAATTACGAGCAACACACGGGTGGCTGGCTAACCACACGTGCGATATTTGAACGTGTGTGACCAATTCATCTTAATGCGTGACACCGAGAAAACACCGAGCGGCCCTGTGGGCTGTAGAGACGTGCAACGGCGGGGACCAGAGTAGCCAGCTGCAGTTTTCTCGTGCATCAGAGAGAAAGAGAGACTGGTAACAGACTAAGGCATCACTTGTGCTATTGCAATGAAGATATTTCTGCATAGCGAGAAAGAGAAGCTCTTCCTTGCTAGACAGTTTCTGCGATATTGTACCTACATCACCAAATTACACATGTCATCATTTAATAAACCATATAATTGAAGGACATATTGCAGCTTTCCAACCTGCGTTTCATATACTCCCAGACACCGATTATTCCGTGCATGTTGCATGCATTTGCATTGGCCAAGTGAGTGTTCATTTAAATTGTTGAATTATATAATTCTGATTTATATTCTGGGATACTGGTCGATAACTCGACGTTATGAAAAATAGTTATATTTTAAGTGTCTTGGGTCTTGTGTGCTTTTATTAGTCCATGTATTGTTACTCTACTGATTCTATATTCTGCTGGTGAAGTCAACGAACTTTGGGACTTAAGGGGTTCCTATATTTTATATGTAAAGTAAATTGCCTGGTTTCGATTTAAAGCTTTCGTGACTGCAAGGATTCATCTTCTCTGGTTCTTTCGGTAAAGTCACGTAGAATGAGAATAAAATAATACATCGATAAAATAAAATAACACAATAATATTCTCACGACGTTTCGGCCACAACACAACGGCCTTCATCAGGTGAAGGGGACGAGACTGATGAAGGCCGCTTGTGTTGTGGCCGAAACGTCGTGAGAATATTATTGTGTTATTTTATCAATTTATTATTTTATTCTCATTCTACGTGACTTTACCGAAAGAACCAAAGAAGATGAATTGTCTGGCTTGATTCCTGTTATCATTCCTGCCTGCCTGTATGGAATGCAGCCAAGTGCACATGCCCGGCGGTGATGTCACCACGCACACCTGTGTAATGACATCAGCGGCATCCCGTAGCATTCATTCGCATGCGTGTGTCGCACTGACGTCATCCGAGTTCGATTCCCGCTCTCGGCCACCACCGGTGAGAATTATTTGAACCGGTCCTGGGCCTCCCCTAGGTCGACTCAGTCTCAAACGAGTAACTTGTGGTGTGAACATCGCCACTGGGGAGACAAAGGCGGCGTGGTGTGGTGAATCCAAGTCCCGGGCAAAGCCGGGTAGCACAGCTAGTAACATATACAAATATTGTTTTAAAATATTTTAAAATTATTTTTAATGATAGTTTGCAGTCGATACCACATTGGGAAGTGGGTTAAAATTGAGTTACAAGATTTGAGGATACGACAACAACAGAGTGAAATAAAAGCGTGTAATAATAATAAAAACTAGCATCGTGAAAAATAAAATCTTGTTTGCTTTTTACGAGTCAGACTCAACTCTGAGGGTTCATTTATAAGCTGAGTTTTTAGTGATACACTCACGTAATCACATCATAGAGCAGTGCTTCTCAACCTTTTTAGGCTACTGTACCCCTTGGTGAATGTAGTTTTAACCGAGTACTCTCTTGCCTGACCCAACATTGATTTGAGAAATAAATGTGTGAATAACGAATTGTCCATTTTGAGAGGTATCCTAAATCGCTAGCATACAAGTATGAATGAACACAGAGGCTCAGCACACGGGGAAGGGCTCTCTTTATAGACACGTCAGTATGGGGCCCGACGTCCACCCCACCGCCCTCGCTAGGCAGGTGGGGAGCGACGTCGGCCGGCTCCTGTCGGGCCTCCACCGACCAAGTGATCAGGCCCACCGCGCTAGCGCCCCCTCTGAGGGAAATACTCGTACCGCTGACTCACGGCCGCACGGAGTGAACCCACACATCCGTGCACACCGCAGCTATCGCTAACACAGCACACAGCGGCACGCTCGCGCTCACACCTGCGAGCGATTGCCTCAATGCGCGCCCATGCTGCGGCTCCGCGTTCACTCTCGCCGCGCGTTCACCCACGCAGTCGTTCCACACAGGAATCACGGACACCACGCCTACGCTCTGTACTAACGTTTATTGCGAGAAGAGCCTAGCCTACTGCTGCCCAAGTCCCCAGGTGCTCAGACGCCCTATCACGTACCTCGTGACGGCACTCACTGGCATTGCACTGATTCTGCGAGCGGCTGGAGAAGGCAGAATGGCAGGGAGTGGGTCTTGGCGGCCAAGAGGTTGAAGTCAAGATGCCCCTTGGAACGGTCCCAGGCTCCTCTTTTTATCCCCCTAACTTCAAATGCCCGGGGTCACGTTGTATCGTGCAGCCAGTCGTGCGCCTACCCGTGATTATCGCCGATTTTTTTCACTTACATGGAGCACTGCGGCGGTTGCTTCTGCGACCCATTGTCAATCCGTGCTCATTCATTTGTTACTCACTCTGGTTAATCTGGAAGGACGCCCGGCTGGCGAATACACTCCTTGCGAGTGTGTATTCAGTATGGGGGTCGGGGTGGGGGGGGGGGTCGTGGCGCTGCAATCCCCTGACCTCATGGTCTGCTCTTCTAGCATAATATTCTACCCCAGCCTCCCCCCCCCCCCCCCCCATGTCGTGCATGACTCATTGTGGCTGGCCCGGTGAACCTTTTCGTGCCCATACAATTTTAAGCCAACTCAGGGGCACCGCAAAATGACCTGTCCTGCAAGAGTCGGCCAATCTCCTGGCACCAGGAGACCGTTGGACTTTCCTCCTAGGGACCCTTCGGATTTAAACCCATTGTGCCAGGCAATCCCCCGCGAGGACACTATGTGTCTGTGTGCTGTGTGTGTGTGCTCAGTGTGGGGGCCAGGGAGGAGTCGCGGCGCTTGCAGAGTTGCTTCGAGGCCGTGGCACCACATCAGCTCCCAGTATCGGCCACCATCATGTCCTGCTTCCCCCTCCTCTCAACTAATCCCTGATTACCTCCTATCCTCCAGAGCTGGATGAGACAGCTTTGCTATTTTATGCTATTTTATCAGGGTACTTACACCTGCAAGTAGATCAAACAAAATTCAACGTACACTCTGCATGTGTAGTGTCAGTTATTTGGAGACAAGGTTTGTAGGAGGCACCTTCTTTATTTAGTAACATTCATGGTCTCATCTACACACTCTCTACAGTCGCTTAGCCTAGCCTATACACAACACTAGCAGTCTAACACTGACGGCGCTGACTGAGACAGCGAAGACGGCAGCGACGACACCGACGAGATGACAGCAATGACGAGACGAGTCCAATCCCACAACCGGCAGCCTCGAGCTCCCGATCTCGGCTCCTTTTATCCTACCAGCGCAGCCAGGGCGGAGCCAGGCTGTGCCTTCCTTCTCGAACCCACAAGCAGGTTCCAGGGGCTTCCAGATGGGGTACTCTGTGACCCTTGTCCTAGTTCCTCTGCTCTGCCAACACAAACGTGCACACACTCACCGGCATATGCACTGTCTGTCCACCACAGTTTCCGCCGCTGTCCACCAGCCGGCGCTATTACACTACACATGCATGGAGTAATGTGTTCGTGCTCGCTGGTTACTCTTGGCAACCATATTGTTTGCAATCAATGAGTTTAGAAAGGTCTGCTATATCGTTCTCGGTTAAATGTTATCATAGTTATTTTGTTTTCGCAGATTCATACGTGATTATTCACCAATGACTTTCACGTATGATGTAATTTCACACATTTATAAATGACGTCACGTACCCCCTGGGAAATTGCACCGTACCCCTGCCGTAGAGGATGGTGCAGTTGAGCTGTACTACACTCCAACATCTACACTTCTCGCCTTCCCCAACCCGCACTGACAAGCGTGGTGAAGGATAGTAAAAAAATAGCTTCCTCACGTGTTAGCAGGTTGTAACCGCTGTGCCCACTCTCGTTGTTGATGATGCCAGGCTCTGAGGTGGCAGCCTGCAAGAGAGGGCCACCATGGCTCATCAGCGATGTCTCTTCTGGGAATGGTCTCGACTCTGGGGCCTTATTTCCAATGCAGGGAATCCCTAGTGGCGGGAAGGCAGAACATCATTTTGTTTTCTGAATCTTTATTTATACTGCAGGAGGGATCCGATGAGCTATGAAGCTCTTTTTCAAAGATGTCCAGTAGTGAGCGACCGGCGAGGGAGTGGATGGGTTTGGGGCTGGGCAAGGAGGTTGAGAATTCCTCGACCAGCCACTGAGGGGTGATGTCACCGTGCCGGGAACGTACGTGGTGACGTCACGGCCACAAAGCGTGCGTGGTGACGTCACCACGCCGATAATGCAGCAGATAATTTGAAGTTTAACACGTAGGCTTTCGCGACCAATATTATTCATAATAAAGGTTTTTTTTATTAGAAGTCGAAAATAGTAAGATTGTTGTAGTTAGTGCTTTTGTTTTGGTGACATTTCTCTGCTTATTCATTTTTATATTGACTTTGTTTGGTAGTTGCTGAATGTAGTATTTGGTCGTCATATTTAATGCGCAGCGTTGTGGGAAGAAATGAGCATGAATAACGCTACATAAAACGAAATTATTATTTGTGTTTCATATTTTTATTTGAGTATTAACGATACAAGCATTACAATGCTATTTTAGTACGTGTACATTTATTTCTATTAAAATGTATATTGTGATTGTATTTCTCCCACAATGCATTAAGCACATCCTAGTTCACCATTGATATAATTGCACCCCTACACTATAATCACACTCCTCTGGCAGGGTGAATACATCTATTTTCGCGCCACATAGGGTGGTTGTTATTTTTATCACCCTTTAGAACAGGGGTCAGCAACCTGCGACTCTGGAGCTGCATGCGCCTCTTCAAGCACTGCTTCTTGACGTTATTTATTAAGGACCACCGTTTCGTATTTATCACGTGCATTGTGGCTCCTGAAAGTGTTTTTTTTACCAAATTCGTAAAAAAATGTTTTTTCTTGTTATTTTGGTTGCCAATCCCTGTTCCAGAAGGTTGGGAGGAATTCACACTCACCCACATTCTAAGGCAGACCCTAGGCACTCCTAACCACTGACATCCAGGGGCATGGCACTGCGTGTAACGGTGATGAGGGTGGCGAGCGCCGTGCGTCGTGGTGTCTGCTCTCTACGGCGTTAATGTTAACCTCTCTCAGGACGCACGACTCAGATCCATAATCGTCACTGTGCTACCAACCCCCACCCACAGTCCAGGCTGTAGGGGCTGAGCGAAGGTTTGGCGAACCGAGTGTAACAGCATCATGGAGTCGGCGTTGTAAAACGACAGGAGGCCCGCGTCCCAGTCCAGATGAACCCCGACTCTCCGTGGAGGCTCTGGCAGCGACAGCGAGATCTTCACTCCGCCATGCCACACGAAGAAGCTGTTGTTACGTTTCTGTAGACTCCAGGAGTCGTCACTCCCTCCCAGGCTGCACTCAGCACCACCCCCACTCCGTGGGATCGTCCCGTACGCGACTCCAATGCGACACCATGACTCCACACTCCCCACGTCCACCTCCCAATAGTGCTGACCCGATGAGAAGCTCTCAGAGCACAGGGCTTGTGGATACCAATCAAACCGGTGTGGGTGGTGGGGGCGACCCTGGGAGATGTCGCTCCATGTCACCGTTCTGAGATCCGAGGAAATCTGGAGTTTGTCGTGGGCTGAGTTTGTGTCCAGAGTCGGTGAGCATCCATCTGTAGTGGGTTCCAGGACACGGAGACGGCAGAATAGAAGCAGCACTATTTATTTAAACCTTAACAAGGGTTACACTATAAGGGGTAGCGGCCCCTCCACCCGTATAACTCAGGAACACACCCCAGGCTCTCTAGCCTAAGCTCTAGGCTCCCAGTTCCTCCTGGTAGGGCTCTAAGGGAGGCTATCAGATCCGGCCCTGGTTAGGCACAGATCTCGGCACCCCGCCGACCAGACTGGCCCTTAGAAGGACTCCGACTCTGGGGCTCTGGGGCCGCACCACTGGCTTGCTGTGCCGGCCCTGAAAAGGGCAGCGGTCACAGGAGTTCCAGGGTCTCACCTAGCTGGCCTTCTTTCTTCACTGGTTGCTTCAGCCTCGGGCCCCACATTCTGCCCCGAGCTCCCTGGCTCCCCGCACTTTATACCCACTGGAGCCTTAGCGGACGTTGTTGTAGCCACCAAGGTGTGGGTGAACCACACCTTCTCGTGCCATGTGTTTATTCCCCATAGCACCCCTACACATCTGTGGTGACGAGAGCGACAACTCTCGCATATCAGTCACAGCAAGGCGAGTAGCAACACAAGCATTACATGGATTGTGTACAAACACACATTGTGTATTGTATTATCATTTATGTCATGGTTATAATGCAATAAATAATACATAAATACGTAACAGATGCACGATGATTATGACATGCATAAATAATGCATACTAGTATGTGCACATAAATACTTATGATTATTATTAATAATATTATTATTAATATGATTATTATTAATAATACTAATAGAACTATGAATGTGTGTGCCATAGTAATTAATAATGGTGATGATGCCAGCATGACGATGTTAATGCCACTCTTGTAGCATCTCTCCATAAACACGACATTTGTACAATAGTCACCACAGCCTCGCACAGACATTTTGTCAATCCATTGCTGGATGAGGGCTCCTCCACCCTGTGCAGGTTATTTGCCCATTTCGTTACCACTCTTGTCAGTTTCCGTTGGTGAAGGTTGGGATCATAACCGTAGAAGCATAGATGTACAATACAACAATGATTTGCACTCCACTGCCCTCTGCTGGCGTGATATGTAAAAAAATCTTCTTTGGTTCTTTCGGTAAAGTCACGTAGAATGAGAATAAAATAATAAATAAAACAATAAAATTCTCACGACGTTTCGGCCACAACACAAGCGGCCTTTATTTATTATTTTATTCTCATTCTACGTGACTTTACCGAAAGAACCAAAGAAGATGCTTCCTTGCAGTCACGAAAGCTTTAAATCGAAATGTAAAAAAATGATGCACGGGAGACAAAAGCGGCCGGGCGTGGTGCTGGCCACCCATTCTCTCGTGTGCGGTGCCGGCCTGTATAGGTGCTCGCTAACAACACTTGCCCCAACAGTCTGTTAAGGTTATACGGGGGAATTTTGTCTTTGTATGTACTGTATTTGCAGTGTTTCACTCTGTGCCCTTGTGCCTGTATTTCTCACTAGGCTTTCTCTAGATCCGCCTGATGTGCAGGAGGTCGTGGATTTGTGTGATGATGCCTGCTGTATATTTGGAGTTTGTGTATCTCTCCCCGTGGTCGCGTGGATTTTTCTCCAGGTCCTCCGTTTTTTTGCTCCACATTTAGAATCAACATGAGTGTACGTTAACATCATGCGTTTAGATTATTTGACTGATATTATACACTTCGTTGAGCTATCATTTGTGGCCAGGCAGCTTCTTAAAAAAGAGCTAAATAGTTCAATAGGCCTTACCTGGTAAAATAAAAATAAGATTTTTTGAAGATACATGCCCCAATGCCATGTCACGTGTCTTAAACAAAGGGCACCAGCCTTTCCCAGCAGTGCCTTTCTGGAACATTGTGTTTATCGTTAATGATGTTGACAGTGATCAGTATGCAATACAGAGATACTCACACACGAGAGCCATGAGATTTGTATTCACTCCTCCTAGAGAGATGACCTCTGTGAGCTCTTGGTGACTGAATGTGGGAGGAGGGCCATCCTGGATCCCCGGCGAGTTCGAGCTTCTACACTCACAGATCACGGGACACACGGAGTCTCATGAGGGTCCATGTCCCTATAGACACTGCACGAGACACACGGAAACAAATGAGGGTCAATTTCGCTCTACCCACGGAAAATATGGAATACAACTGCATCGAATGGAGTTTATTAGGAAGCACATCACGACCGTTCACTAATTTGTCCACCAGGTGGCAGACAGAGATCTAGTTTGAGACTGGGTTGGTACTGACCTGAGATTCTCATGCACGGGATCCTGAAAAACACAACCCCACATTTCACATTAATATTGACATCCTAAGTAGATGCCCCTCCTCCACGCAATCGCCCGCTGTTCACAGTGTAGCGCGACATCAGAGAATTAACAAATACCTCCAATCTGAGAAAGGTGAAAAACACGGCGCTCTTAACTGGACACGGACGGAACTCAACAAATGACAAAAAGCTCTTTACAGGTCGAGTTCAGCACTGAGACGAATGGTTAAACAACGTCCAACAACTCGTGTTTTTTTACTATGAATAAACTCAACTTTTTTGTTTACCAGGTAAGGCCCACTGAGCTGTACATATCGTTTTCAGAAGCGACCAGGCCACAAATGCAAGCTCAACGAAGTGGCTTATCGCGTTTTAATTTATACTAGCAAATAAACCCTCTAAACGCGTGATGTTGATTCTAAGTGTCGAGGTCAAAAACATGATCTGGAGAAAATCCACACGACCACAGAGTGAGAGATACGCAAACTCCAAATATACAGCAGGTGCCGGGGTTGGGAATTCTATATACCAGGTTTGAGTGCCACATGGAAGCAAACTCGCCTCCATTTCGAGACACCACCGCTTCCTCCCATATCGAAAAACATTTAAATATGATTGCCTGCAATGTCAATGTTTCACAGAGTGGTTACTCTTTCCTAGTTGTAGATAAGTCTCTGATAAAGCAAGGCCGTGAGTGAATGGAGGTCGGGCCACCTGCAGGAAGGAAAGCGGGTCCTGCTCGCTGAGGGCGGCGAGCAGCTGACTGATCTCCTGCTCCAGGTCCCGTGTTCTGCTTTCGTAGCGAGCGATGTCCGCCTGGATGCGGGACAGCACAGAGCGGCCCTCCTCGTCCACGCGCTCCAGCGCCTCCCTCTCCTCCTCCCCCAGCTGCTCCCTCCTGCGCTTAAATTCTCGGCTGATCCGCTCCTTGGTCCCACGTAGAGAATCCTACGCAGAGATACGATGATGCGCTATTGAAAAACAACAGTGCGATATGACACCATAAAGGACCTCGATGAAGCCACATCTTCTTAGTCCACACAAAGAGGCAGGTGACGTATTTTTGGAGAACGTTGAGTAATGAAATGCATGAAAGGAGATTTAGACAGAATATTAATGGGCACTCTTATGTCAATGTCTCTCTATGTGCCTAGATTGTGTGCTTCTCTGTCTATACCTGCGCGTGTCTGTGTGTATCTCTGTACCTGCACGTGTCTGTGTGTATCTTTTTGTACCTGCACGTGTCTGTGTGTATCTCTTTACCTGCACGTGTCTTCGTGTATCTCTGTACCTGCACGTGTCTGTGTGTATCTCTCTGCACCTGCACACGCTGGTAAGCGCCCCTGAGCTGCTGTGTCCGTGATGCTGCCGTATTCTTCTTCTCCTCTCTGACCATCTTCTCGAGTCTGAACACCTCCTATACATAAGGTAGACAAATACACAATGTTTGCTACTCCCAACATTATCATCATCTGGCACATGTCTTTAACCCAGAGCCATGCAGACAGGTTTCCCGGATCGCTGAGGGATAATCATCGCTCTTTGAAACGTCCAACCTCCCAGGCTGCGAGTTGGTGTTGAGGAGGCAGCACGACAGTCGTGTTTCAAGGAGGTGGCTGGATTACAGCGTGGTTTATTGAGGGGCGCTCACTGACATGCTCGTGTTTTCTCCAGTTTTGCTGAATAATGGAATCGAGCGTAACCAGGAGCAGGAAACACAATAATGTCAATATTAACACTGTAATCATATAACGATGCGAGGAATATTACCAGTAGCAACAACAACAGCAACAATAAACGTTCATGATGATTAGTTACTGCAATATCCTTCATTGGATGCTTTCCTTAAGCTGTCCCCCATTTGATTGCCTGTGGCAGGGCTTGGCACTGGCAGGATGAAGCGCTGTAAACATGAAACTCTGTCGACGCCAAGTCCTACCTATTTTGCTGGCCATGTGGCCTTAGTCCCGAACTGTGTTTCCCCATTTCACCTGCAAATACTGTGGCAGGCTAAACACTCTGGTGGTTGGCTAAGCTTCACCTTGACAACGTTCAACCACAGTCCAATGTTCCATCACAGATTAAAATACATGGAGGCCAAGGTTAGATGTATTGTTTCATTCTCGACACTAAACATTGTAACAAAATCAAATCAAAATCTGCCCTATAAACAATCAAACCGTCCCACTGAAATTGCCTTCCATTTACCTCTCTTTAGTCCATGGTCAGTTCACTTCTGAAGCATCTCACATTTTAAGTATCGCACATTACTCCACATTTCTCCCATGTATGAATCTTATGTGAATAATGTTTTACATCTGTGCCAGCCATAAAACAAAGTGCTCTGTCTTATAACTAAACCATGGAACACCCTGCTTTGCCATCCATTCAAATCAACATTTCCATCTTCCGTATCTACACTGTCTTTCGTGTGCCAGATTTACAATTCGTGGTGCCCACAGTGATTTGATTGACCATCACAATGTTGACACAATCGGAGTCACCTAATAATATGCAAATATAAATGATAAAGTACAGACTATCTTAACAAAACACGCCTAGAATGTCTTCTTTGGTTCTTTCGGTAAAGTCACGTAGAATGAGAATAAAATGATAAAATAAAATTAGACAATACAATTCTCACGACGTTTCGGCCACAACACAAGCAGCCTTCCTCAGGTGAAGAAACAGGTCTATCCAGGAGAGAGACCTCGGGCTCTATCAGAGAATTAACAAATAATTCTAATTCTACGTGACTTTACCGAAAGAACCAAAGAAGATTAATCCTTGCAGTCACGAAAGCTTTAAATCCACGCCTAGAATGCTGTAGTTACACTTTAAGATATTGGGTTACAGCAGCGATTTAAATCTCACCTGCTTTGTCTGTTGTGCATTTTCTACTGGAATGACCTCATGCCCTCTATGTTCCCCAGAGATGGTGCAGCCTGTGCAGATCAGGCTGCTATCCTGTTCACAGTAAAGAATGAGCTCCTGTCTGTGCTGCTGGCATCTTCGCACATCCAGGTTCACGATGGGAGCCACCAGGACATGGTCACTTAGCCTGGGATTCTCCAAGTGAGGCCTCAAGTGTGCTGCACAGTAGGATGTCTCGCATTTCGCGCAGGTCTTCACTGCAGGAGTCTGGCCGTCAACACAGATGTTACACACGACGGCCGTAGCCATCCCGTCTCCAACTCTGAGCTGCTCCGCCAGGTTGGCGTGGGCCACGTTCCTCCTCAGCTGGGGTCAGACAGGGAAGGCCACCCGGCAATGTGGGCAGCTGAAGCTGCTCGCCGTCTCCCAGGCGGCCTCCAAGGAACGAAGGCAGAACGAGTGTCCGCAGCTCAACGTGAAGGGGGAGATGAACGTGCCCAGGCAGATGGAACAGCTCAGCTCACTATCCACACTCTCACTTGGATTCGCGCTCGCCACGACCCATGGGCTTCGCTCAGATCGCTCGCTGTGTGGCTGAGAGAGACACTGGACTCTCTCTTATAGCGACGGTACACAAGGAAGTAAAATCCTTAAAATCCTTTCATTGTCGTGATTGACATCACGAGACTGCCTGGAATGTGAACCTGCGACCTTCGTGCTCAAACACCAGCTTCAAGGTGAACACGGTTACTGCAAACACCTTTAAATGAGCAAAATATATTAAAGAAACTTAATGTTTAAAACAATACGTAAAAAATATAAATCGGTGAGGCTCAGCTGTGGTGACTCATTCATGATATGAGTATCGAGAGATGAAATTATCCTTCCATAGCTCTGCGCACAAGTTAATGTCTATGGTAAGACAGCAATGGATTGGGTCCCATGGAGGCAAGATCTCCCTCCCCTGATTTCCAGGAGGTTGTGGATTCGATCCCAACTCTGGCGCCCGTATATTTGGAGTTTGCACGTCTCTCGCCCCTGGTCATGTGGGTTTTTCTCCGGGTCCTCCGGTTTTCCCCTCCACATTTATAATCACGATCACGCGTTTAGAGTATTTGGCTGCAATCAATTTCCACATAAGCCACTTCCTAGAGCTATCATTTGTGGCCAGTTCTCTTCTGAAAATGAGCTAAAAGTGTCAGTGGGCATTATCTGGTAAAATAAAAAAAAACATAGTTCTTATAGTTGTAGATATCTCATGATTCCCTGGAATTCAATTTCTGTGTAATTACCCGAATGTGACGAGTTTATTTAATGCCATTGTGGCATCTGACATGGAATTTACCTGTAGACTCCCATGACCCATTCTGGAATGTTGAGCCTTTTGCTTGCAGTGTGAATCTATCACCCACTCTACCTTCCTCCATCACCCACTGTTGGCAATGTCACCGTTTCTCACCCTCTCGTTGTCTGAGACTGGAGTTTCCTTGCCGACCATTCACCGCAACATCCACTGCCTATTTCACCTGCGTTGTTTCATATTTACACGTACGCACAGCGATTGAGCACGCGTCCTCCATCAATTCTTTCACATCCCCCTCCCCTCCCCAAATGGTCCGTTTTTGTACATCACACCCCGCTGCTCCTCAGCTTGTTGAGGGTACAGCATGGCGCAATACACATGCATCGTGGCAGCTCAAGGTTTTTCAGAAGAATCAGGAGCGTATTTCCTTGAGTAAAGCTGTAGAGCTAGGAAGCTCTTGTTCGAGAATTACTTGGCCGGCAGATATTAATGCGTTTCACATCACTCGCACTCATTAGCACACTCACTCACCCACTCACGCATAGACTTATACCAACCAACTCACCAGCCCACCCTCACACTCACGCACTTCACAACCAGAAGTTTATACTTTCCCGAGTAAAGTCCATTGAGATTAAACGCTTTTTTTCCCAAACGTGATTTCAACATCAAAGCATTGCACAATTACAATAACACCACACTCACTGGTCCACTCAAGCATTCACTTCCGCGCCCACCCACTCACTCGGCCACTCACTTGTTCACTCACCCACCCTTTTAACTACTCACCCATCCACTCATTCACTCGCCCAATCACCCACGCACATCAGAATCATAAGAACCAGGAAAGTATTTCCTGAATAGAGTCCATTGAGCTAAGAAGCTTTATGACGAGGGTGACCCAGCCGGCAGATGTGGGCAAATTTTGTCGTTGGTGGCTTGGCTCTTCCAACTCTTTGCCCTCCACGAGAGAACCGGCCATTGCCTCTACCTCTGGTTGGATCAGCGGTCGGCAACCAAAACAATAACAGCCGTTTTTTTCTAATTTGGGGGGAAAAAAACCTCTATTTTAAGAGCCGCAATGCTTGTGAATGCGAGACGTATTTGTTTTGAATTTATTTCACATCGTACGCAGCCAATCGAATGTGCGAGGGAAGGACAACAATCTAAACAAAACAACAAGCAGTTCTAATTCAATGAGTTTTCAATCTGGGGTATTTAAAAGTTAATATCTCCAGTGGGTTCCTAATATCGGAAGGAAAACCGTTCCAGACGACCAGAGAAGCGAATTTAAAAAGTGCCGCGCAATGCGGCGGCAATCTTTGTTTGTTTGCCAGCCGAAAGCCGTTGCTGACTGGAGTTTGCGTGATGGTTTATGCTTCTTGACGAGGGCGACTTGACATTGGTCCTTAATCAACAACGTCAGGAAGCGGTCCCTTAAAGAGCTGCACACGGCTCAGGAACTGCATTTTTACAACCCCGAAGTGTGTTGGTCGGGGTTTATCAGCGTGTACTTGTGTATGTATGTTGAACTTCTTGGCGCCATATGTAGCGAACCGTGTGAATTGTAGGTGCGGTTTAAGGACAACAAACTAAATACAAATAGCAGCTCTGAAGAAATTAGTACAGTGGTGAGTGTATAGTCGTGTAGTGTGTAGTCGTAGGCATGTTGAACCTCTTTGGCAACGTACATAGAGAAACCTGCTAAACGGAGATTGCGGGGGAAGGCCAACAAACTAAAAAGAACAACCAGCAGTCCTAAACGAATAATCTGTCAATCTAGAGTATTTAAAAGTGCATAGCTTCAGTGGCTTCCTCATCGATCCGGATCAGTCTTGCACTCAGGCGACAGCGGGTGGGATGCGTTGTGCGTGGCTTGTACGAGCGGCAGAACCAGCGAGTCCTGTTTTCCTGTATGGGGCTTTTTTTGAAATCGGGTTGATGGGTTGCATTTTCTGAAGGCATTTATTTTATCCTTCATGATGCTCATTCTTTTTTTCTGTTTGCCGTGAGTCAATTGGCACCCAGGACACACTGCCTTGCTAATGAGAGCTTCCATCTCGGTTGACATTTTCCAGGTGGAATATTTGAATGCTGAATATTTCATCACGGGCCACCCTCGCTGCATGATTAACTTGCATATGGGCCAAAAATAAGTTGGCTCAGCGTGTGCCTATTAAAATTACACCCGTAACGAGCGCAGAATTACGCGATGGGAGCAAATGTCGTTCAAACGAAGAAAACTTGTCCACCACTTGCACACAATTTTATGTTGTAAATGATGTCTCGACTTATTATTTATTTTATTTACGACATATTTTTTTCACGCTACATATTCATTGCACGCATTGTCACTTTATTTTGCCCAGTGCGGTGTTAGCCGCTGAGGTCGTGCTGTTTTTTTGTATTCTTTTTGTTCCATGCTCCCGTACCGTTTCCGTCTTGCTGTAACGTGCACCAATGCCTACTTCAGTGAAGGCGATATTGGCATGTACAATAAAAATCGATTGAGCCACGTTTTGAGCAGCGATGTGGCCTTGCGACGGTGCTTTCCACTTCGCTGCGCGTCCATGACTGCGAGTGCTGTCACTGTTACTGCTCAGTCAACTCGCACAGTTGACGTTAAGAATTATCGGACATCAGCCACAAGAGTAGGCTCATTGTGTGCGAGTGTCATTTTCCAAATAAAAAAATTACACCACAAATTATTTACTATTTATTTTTGCCAGGTAAGGCCCACTGAGCTATACAAATGACCTCTGATAATGAAGTGGTCACTGGGACTTCAGGAGGCAAATTAAAAGTGAGAGTAGCTAACAGTGTCGATGGTGAAGTTATGTCAAGGCTAATCTGGCCATATGAGTTCAATATATAGCCATGTCTAACATCATTGATGAGTTGATTATGAAATTTTCCTCGACCCCACTTCATCAACCGAGATTGTATTTTTATGCTTTTATTGTAATTTAATGAGAAAGCAATTCGTGTATTTTAAAGTTAAAGTTTTCAAATCCGCTTGTAATCCAAGTTCACTTTCTTCAGCGAGGCTGCGCGTTGATGAGCGTGCTGCTGACATCGTGAGGAGTCGCAATATACGTAACTTTTGTATTCAGTATTTAACTCCTTTAAATGCCCACTTTATCACCTGGAAAATGCTTGAGAGGCATAATAGTCAACACTCCGCCCAACCTAGAAAAGCACACGGTGAATATATGCATTTGATGAGACTGACTGCACCTCATATTCAGTAGATGATAAAAGATTCTGGATATTCTGGGACATCTGAAAAATGTCAGGTAGACTTCAACAAATATCAGACAAGATGCATGGATAATATTGATGTGTGTTGAACTCATTTCGTTGAACTATTTGAGGTGTTAGGCAGTCTTGATTACTTTTGAGACGATATCCCCTATTTGTCCCAAAATAGCCTGAAACGTGTCATGTGATTTGTATGCTCTTGTTGAGAGTGTTAAATGGAATGATAACTCGTGCTTAAACCATGTTCACTGTCGCTGTTCAAGAGATAAGGCACTCAACTTTGGAAGTCTTGTGCCAGTTTCTGCTAAATCATACTACTTCGCAGGTATTTTAACCTTTAAGATGGCTGGCAGTCCTCAACGTTAAACAAACCTCTTAAAAAACGTGTAGATTTATAATTATTATTTAATGAAACAACGTTGCCAGTTGTGCACAAGCAAAGATAACAAACTCTCAAAACATTCGTCAATAACAGCCATAAATATAAAACGCATTCCTAGGGACGTTTCAGGAAATGGCCCTTCTTTAGATCCTATACAAGATGGGTTTAAGAAGAATTCAACTTGCTAAAAACGTCGCGTATTGTAATCATATATGCATTTCCTTTCATGGTAACGCCACTGATGAATGTGTTGAGAAAAATGATGAAGATGATTACAATTCGTAAAGCATAGCATTGGCAGGAGAACACACGCACATATTGCGAAAGCTTCATCACCATCTTCATCACTCGGTGGAACCCACCTGTATGGAAGCATTTTGAGGGAGGGTTGGTGGATCACGAATATTTGTGAAACAAAAAAATAGCTGAGACTGCAAAAGCCAGATGTTATACATGA